CTCTACCTGCTCTATTCACTTCACTGATAACATCACCCCCTTCCTCAATATATTTATCAAGGTTTTCAATCTGAAGGCAATTATGAATTTTATTTAGAATGTGTGCAGCAGGAAAAAAAATACAAAAGCCAATATAATATACACAGCCAAAAACACCCAAGTTGCAACAAGTCTGCTGCAGGCCTGTTGCAACTTGTTGTATCAAACTGATATCTGATGTGTTCGCATGGCTTGCATCAGCTTGTTCAGACAGGGCTGTTACAAGTTGTCAACAGACTTGCTGCAAGTCGTCAACAGACTTGATGCAAGTTGTTCTCATCAGACCTGATGCAAGTTGTCAACAAACCTGTTAGAAGTTACAACAGACTTGCTGCAAGTTGTTCAATCAGACTTGTCAAGCTTGGGATTGACAAGTTGCATCAAGACTGCTAATTATGACAAGTTGCAACAAGACTGATTTTCACAGGCTTGTCGCAACTTGTTGAAATTAACCAGCTTTTTGCAACCGGTTGATAACTTGAAACAAGCCGGTAAAACTGACAACTTGCAACAAGTCTGTGGCGTTTCTGGCTGTGTAGTAGAGTACCAGTCCGTGAAACATGCTGCTCAGGTCTACATTCAAAGCACAATCAAATTAATATTTATATAACTCAATTTTTTAAAAAAATACACTAAATTTTGCATCTATTCGTCTCATTCTCTCACGTTTTGAACAAAGTTCCTTCTCTTTCTGAGCTAATTGCACATCTGTTTCCTGAATAGCTTTTGTTTCTTTTAAAACATTGTCCCATTTCTCCTTCTGCAAGACCATATATTTCCCAACAGGAAATCTGTTGTATCGCCTCTTCCTTACACCACTTGAGGCAGCCATGCTAGAAACATGATAAAATCCATCAAAATACAAGGAAAATAAGCGCTTTCTTGCCAAACAAAAAAATACGATCGAAGAACAATACCTAAGCGTTAAGTATTTGCCAAAGAACAAGCACAACAACGTAGCTGCCCAAAGTTTAATGAAGCCAAACATACCATTGTGTGTACTCAATGTGAATACCAAAACAATTCTTCAAAATAGGGTATCTACTTGCACGTAAAAAGTAGGTCAAATTAAATCTTTTCTCTGCATATTTGGTATCAAACGGGAGATTTTGATCAGCTCTACTTCGCTCATCGACTCAATTTTCTGAACAGTAAAAAGAGGCCTTATGGGAAGGCGTAAAAGTGGAGATAAAATCGAAATTCCTTGTTTTTCCGTATTAAAAAAACTCGAACCCAGTTTCCCAAAAATTGCGGGTCGCGACCGACACGATCTACGTGAGCGAATTTATTCCAGCCAGTGCCCGCCGTGGTACCTCTAACATGAGTGCAACCTTTCGTTCACTGCAATGTAATTTATAACCACTAAACTTCTACACAAAAATATGGCATATGTTGATGTTGAAATAGTTTCGAAACGTTAGCTTCAGTTAGCTTATCACTTTACTAAGAACCCACTTATTAAATTAGAAAAGGAATATGGACCTAACTTTTTGAAGACAGAGGGGAGGGGGGGCATTGATACTATGATGAATTACGATTTTGAATTTATTGCGAATAGTTTCATTTTAGGGAATGAGGTATAATTAACCCGAACATACCATATCACTTCCACTTTTATGACCAGCAAAGTCTTTGTAGAACTTTTAAAATATAATAATCAGTGGTTAATTGACAGATTGTACAATACAGTAAAACAAAGGTACGAAATAATAAAAATTACACTTCCTTACTAAAGCCTCTGTGATAAGGTCTTCTCTGCGCTCAGTAGAAATTGTAATATTCTGAGTCTTTTGCCTGCTTTGTCTATAAAACAAAAACAGTTTTTTTACAAATTACCAGCAGTTGTCAGTTTTATTTTATCTCAAGATTGACAACTGACCTTTTCTCCCACCAATGATAACTTCTGTTGGTGCCTTCAAGCTTGGCAAGATGTTTAGAAAATCTTTGAAAGCCCAATAAAATATTTTTGAAAATTTGTCAGTTAATAACTTACTCCATGTGGTTACCAACCATTCACATGTGCAATGACAAAACTAGATTGAGAACTTTATGGCTGCAGTTATATTCCAGTTGCCAAAATATATAAAAGACAGAATGATAGTTGTCAGGTGTTGAAATCCTACATACAATAATTTGCATGAAATTATGGAAATGATAATAAAATCCTAAAAGGACATAGGATTGATTTCAACATCATTTGTTAGGAAAATCAGCAAAAGAACCTCTATTTTGGAGTTGGTCTGAATTCTTGACATTTTGCCAAAACTTTCTAATAGTTGTTTATCATAACAAAGAGCTATTATATATGTTAGGCATTTGCAAGCAAATTCCAATTTGAAACCCAGGATCATGCAGCAATTATATTGTATCAATATGGTGGAAGATAGGAAGTCAGGATACATATCACGTCAGATAAGCCCAGGTTGCAAAAGACATCTTAATCAAAATTTACATCTAAATGACTTTGACAAACATTGACACTCAGGTATTAAAGTCACATACTCGGTTAGAAAACTTGTAATTTGTAATAACAAAAATATTACAATTACCTGGTATTATTTAATATACCAGAGCAGTACTTGAGTGTGAAAGTACAAAAGTATCCAGAACTATTACACTTACTCAAAATCGAAAACATTCGATTGCAATTCCGTTATGATCTTTGGCGCATACCCGATTCGTGAACTTTGACGTCGGGCGCGTGATGAAAGGACTGATGAAATATTATGTGGCAGATCACTAATGAGGGTTATAAGGCCGTGTTACGAGTAACGAAATATATTGTAATAATTAAATAAATATGTAATGCATAATTATACGGCAATAATATAGCTACCATTAAATTGTTCTACGGTTCTACGGTTTTATGGTTTTATTGTTTGATGGTTCTACGGTTCTATGGTTCTATGGTTCTACGGTTCTACGGTTCTACGGTTCTACGGTTATATGGTTCCATGGTTCTATGGTTCTACGGTTCCAGGGTTCTACAGTTCCAGGATTCTACGGTTCCATTGTTCTACGGTTCTATGGTTTTACAGTTCTATTGCAATGAATACGAAATTTTCTATAAATCTCTAATAAAGTATATTATTTACTCTCTTTTCAGTTTACACTGTCTTAAAATTCGTAAAAAACTAAAAACGATTGTTAATAAATCCAAAAAAGGCAAAGCGAGACGATGTTTGAAATTTCAAATTAAAATTTCGCCTTTCTCTCGTTGTACGGTTGGTTGCCGCGACACTATATCCCCAAATATGTCGATTATGCGTCCACTCTGACTCTTACTCATTATTATATTTCGGTCAGTGGATGCATTTACGTAACATTGGTTCACAAGGGAATGAGGGATATTTACTGTCAACAATCAGGCGTATAAAATTAATTTATCAAACCATGGAAGAAAAACAAATATTTCACCTATGATAATTTGGAAATATCCCTTCCTTGCTGACTCAATTGTGGTGGAAGAGTAAGTGATAACCTTGTTGATGTACATAATCTTTACGATTATTTATGTTTACCACCTCTATGATACTTTAAGAAATGGATCTGACTTGTTAAACATATCAAAAATATATTTTTTCTGATACAGGGTTCATGGAGCATAAGAATGCCTGGGGTAGAAACAATTTAAGAAAAAATCCTGCACTTTAGCTTGTTACAGAGGTAAGTTTGCTTTTAGTTTACAGCTTTAATATTGATATAAGGTACTATAATTCTTGTTGACAAACTATCCAAGCTGATAATTGACTGCCAAATTTCTTTGTTCGACATAATACCCATGTGTGCTACTTCGCTACTTTTTAGTTACCTGCCATATTTTGTATAAAATTCTCATTGATATTTTAGTTAATTGACAGAGTATGGGTTTTAAATTACCAGTAGAGGAATTTTCTTTCACAATGTATCTAGCAAACTCTATTAATTCTTTTTCAGGTAAAAGCAGAATTTTAAAGAGTAAACCACAAGTTAATCCATGATATTATTGGCAAATTTCAATCCATTGATTGAGAAAAATATTTTGGACTATGCCAAGAAATGTAACAAGAAACTACATTTGTTCTTATAAACAGAGTGGAGAGAGCAATTACTGGGAAATCAGGTAAGTCATGCAATTAATAATAATTTGCCCAAACCAATGGCAAAATTATAGTATTATAGCAAGGCTATTGCTACATGAAATATGCCTATTTATAATCTAACATAATCTATCTTGATAAACAATTTTTTTAACAGACATCCAGAGCACAGTTGCTTAGATTTTGAAGGAATTATTGAAGAAGAATGTAGGAGAATCTCAGTCTCTCTTTTTTAAGATTTGTTCAGTAAGTGTAAGAACCTTTGTGGGCTGACTTTGTTTTTTAAATACTTTTAAAGTCCTTCTAAAAAACATTGGTTTCTTATTAAAGGTTGTTGATTCCATAGATCAGGATAATGATTCAGAAGACATTTCAGACGTTCAAACTTTGATGATTGCGGTGGAGGGCAAATGTTATCCTATCGAAGAGCACTCAACCTTATTTTATCCACTAAACATGGAGTACATTGCTGGTGTGGCAAATGGAAACTGCTCTGGTCGGCAAGCCTTAGGACAAAAACTTTTGAAGGACGTTAAGTACACTAGACATTTTATACATTCTTGTACATAGATTTTCCTGTCACAGCATATGTAGAAATAAATATTTTCAAGTCGCATTTTGTATACTTCGTATGATTATATAGCTTATGCTATTTAGTCGCTCCAATGCTAGCGCCAAAAGTGCAAAAACTAAACCACACAAACTTCGGGTGTTAAATAAGACGATGTAATTAAAAACTGATGTGTAGGTTAAAATAACAAAAAATAGACATCGCCTTAAAGGTTTTGTTTAAATCAGCATTTGTTTGTCAATAATTCGATTTTCTATCGATCTACTTATTAAAGTGCTTATAAACCCAAAATGGGTTTTTTGTGATTCAGATAGAGCATAAAAAGTTGGTTAGTAACTTCTAGATTAGTTTTTGCGTTAAAATTTTAATTTCGGAGTTACGATGGCTCAAACAGCAAAATTTGACCATTTTTCAAAAAAAAGTAGCGCGACGCAAATATCACCAAAGAGCCTGGATCCCAGGAACTCATCTTCTACAGCAATCACACTTTTGTATTGCGAGACTGTATATCTTGAGAGTTTTCTGCTTAAAATGCCCGAACGTTGCGTTGTTTTTGGGTGTTCTAACACGGCAGACGCGGAGAATGGTATTTTTCTATACCAGATACCTTTTTGGAACGAAAACGCGACCGTAGCAGCGAAACGAAGGCGAATATGGGTGAACTTCATTCGACGCAGAAGAGACAAATGGACGCCAACACCCTCATCAGTTGTTTGCTCAAAGCACTTCACGAACGACTGTTTCGAGTACGGTTCTGCTACAGTTTCAAAGTATAAGACCCCTAGACTAAAAAGGGATGAGTTGGGAGTTTCTGTGTACCCTACATTGCAAGCAAATCAAATTTTGGGCAGCACAGAAAGTGAACGCACAAAACGCATGAAGCGAAGAGAGGTAAGCTAAGGGATATTAAATCATAACTGTGCCAATGCGCTCTTTATATTCGTGCATATATTTAATAAATGCGCACAATTTGAATATTTTTAAACACTTAAAAATGTTTTGCATTCGACAAATTCGAGACTATAACAGAATCGCCAACAACTTCGTCAAAAATTTCTGGCGTAACTGATGAATTGAAAGCTACGACGGAAAGTGTTGTCTTCCCGACGGATGTTATGGAACACGAATCAATGGTAAGGCTTCTAGCTATATATATATATATATATATATATAGGTTATGGTGGTGTTCAGGCACACATGTATAAAGCAAACACAAGAGTGTGTTAATTAACCTTTGCTGTACTAGATTGGGGCATCACCACAGTCACCACACAAGTGCAGAAATTGTGATTTGTTAAAGAAGGAAAACAAGCGAATCCGTAACTGTTGGGAAACATCAAAACAAAAGCTGGCAGGTGTGAGAAAAGAATTGGATATTCTTAGGGTGCAACAGGTAAACATTTATATTACATAAGGTGTTGTTGCAATAACATCCTTATAGTTGTGTCACAAGGAAACAAGAATAACGTAAAGCATATATAATGTACTGTAAATGGTATAGAGTGTCGGTGATACAATAATGCCTTTTGTAAGTATACCACACTTATATGTTTCTGTAATAATTTACAATAGGTGTAAGTAGTGATGATGATGAGGAAGTTGAGAGCAATGATGAGGAAGATCACAAATCTGAAGATGAGACAGAGGGGCCTTCTGATGATATGTATGAAGATGCAGAAATTGAGACAGAGACAGATACAGCAGATACTGATACTGATGAAGACATTAATGTGCCTTCACATAGGTAAGAAAATGCAGGTCAACTGTTCTCTAATTTTTGCAAATCATTATTTGACAGGAAATCTGCACTCATGTGTAAATTAACAAGTCTTGTTGTAATCCGAACTTTTTTACTGCCACCATTTTAGTTTTGACAATCTGGCCCAATACATACAAACTTTTCTCCAAACTAATTTACACTAGTTCCAAGAGTTTCCTTAGTTTCCTTAGTTTCCTTAGTTTCCTTAGTCCAAGAGTTTCCTTAGTTCAAAAGTACTCACAAAAGTTGCAAAAGTGAGTGGGTGTGAAGCAGTTGCTGAATGGATAAAGCCTTGTACTAACCATTTATACTGGAGTGCAAGAACTACACATGATGGGAATGGTGAAGTTATTTGGGCTAAGTTCTCATCATTTTTAAGTCATGTGGTTAATGAGCACAAAAATCTTGAGAATCCGTTGTTCAACAAATGTGGGCATAAAGAGACAATTGAGCCACGGAAATGGTTAGATAAAGGTTTGTTGAAGTGCATGCAATACTATTTTATCATCATAATATGGTGATATGCATGTGTGTCAATATTATGGTAGTATTTATGTACAATCTGTTTATGTTGTGACATATTCTTAGATTCAGTTGCCTATGAGAAAATGCAGTCATCTCTTACTAACAAAAGGCTGATAAAAGGAATAAAGCATGCATCTCCAATGGACCAAACAAGTTGCCTAGAAGGATTCCATTCTGTGCTGAACCAATTCTCTCCCAAGATGATAGGCTATACCTACAGAGGAATGTTTTGCAGGTAATTACTGTATGCATTCAAAAGATAGTGTAATGATGTACAGTTTAAATGCTTACTTTTGTTCTAGCAATTTATTGATATCACCAAAATAAGAGTTTGAAACAAGATGTGACATTTACCTAAATGATGGGAAAATAAATTTCCAGGAGGCCACCCTTTGCCACATGAGTGCTAAAAGTATCACTTATAAAGCAGTGTCATTTTTTGCAGACATGCATTAGCAGTCATGCACTTTAATCAGAATCTGTCTCGGGAAGCAAGATTGAAAAATGGTGTTGAACAATACAATGTTGTTTATCCCAAGTTCATGAATGGGGAAGCAGTTGTCAGAAAAGTTCCAGTAAAGCAAAACTTTGGTAGGTTGATTGGATAATTACAAACCAAGGATTCATGTAGAAGGCACTTTAATATATATATATAATATATATATATATATATATATATAATATATATATATATATATATAGATTATGTGGATAAAATATATCAAACCATGTTAGAGGCTATTGCGAATAAAAAACTGGAAGATGCAATAGATGACCTAAACGAAAAAACACACCACCCATGAATACCATGCTAAGTAAGCAGTCAAGAGAAGAAGCAATACAAAAAAGAAAACAAGGGATGCAATGCAACTTTCTGATGTTCCTCCAACAAACCCAGGTATTTTAGAAGTTGTTGATGCATTTACACTTAAGATCAGATAACAATATAGGTACAATGATGGTTTACCATTTCTAAATTTTATCCCACTCCTCTTTTTAGTTCCCACTGTTGAAGTTGGAACCCAAAGTCATGCTTTAAAACAAAGAAATGCACCAAAATGTAGGCTGTGCAAGCAGCCAATGAAAGGTCACAAAAATGTTGTTGACTGTCCAAAAAATAAAAAAGATTAACAATATTTTTATTTGCATTTGTTCATACATTTTTACACAATTTACATTTGAACCAAAGCAATATTATTCGCTTTCTTCATCTGTCTCCAGTTCTTCATAGCCAGTGAATGCACCATCCATGGGTTTATGTGTTAAACGTATAGCATTGTATGCACAAGAAGGCAATGGAATTCTTTTGTCCCTTAATCGGCCATGCACCATGCGAGTAAATTGTCGATAGGCAACAACTCTCAGAAATCTAAGGGATTACAAACCAAAATCATTCCTTTTATTTGAGCCTGATGAACAGTAATGCATTGTGCAATAGCAAATGGCAGTCACAACAGGGCAACTAAGAGTAAGCCTGTCAGAATTTAACAATCTATGTAATGATACAGTTTTACTGCAATTATCATAAACCAGCTTTTTCAATTCTTCCCAGGGGCATCCAAGTTTATGCAACTACCCCAGGGTGTGTTTGGTATAACTCAATTCTTTCAGTTTCAGATGCCCCTTCACAGGCTGCATTAAGATGATAATAATATTATAAACACGACAATGATGACAAAGGCCACGTTGTGTCTGTTATTATTGAATAAACATACCTTTGTTTTGAGCCACTTTGCTTATATCTATGACCCTGACGGGTTTTGAAATTGTCAGCAGCAAGCTCCAACGACCATCTGTTTAAGCAAACAGCTGGAAAACCAGGATGATTAACTATACAAGTCAATTTCTGTTCCTCACTTGACTCCTCAGAAAAGTCATCAATAAATTTTGCGCAACCCTCGATTTCGTGGCAACAACGACACTCTTTAGCATTTTGCAGCATTTCAATGCTACAGTTACCACAACTGCACCTAACGAAAAAATATACAACTTCAGTTGAACAAGACAAAGCAAATTTTAATACAATTTTTATACCACGTGCTACTGGAATATTGCGATAAATCACAATGACATAATACGCAATTACCAGGAAGTTAAAGTTTTTCTTCCATTCCAGCGGAGTTCTAGTTCTGCCATTGTTTGGTTATTTTCTTCCCGCGCTCTGTTATAATTTTCTAGCCAAACATTATCCGCGATAGGTTCGTCAAAGTAGGCCTCGGGGTCTGTGTTGTCATCCATTTGGCTGTCCTCCGGAATATCAGGATCGAATTCTGCGTCGCATTTCTCGCTTTCTTTACGCTCGTCTTCCATTTCATATGGCATAATGGTAGCAGTATTGCTATTCACACTCGAAAATGAACTAGAGCTCGACATTTCAAGAACTTTTATTTAAAAATGGCCAGATATTTCCAATTTGTTTACTAGAAAATGTTTCATAGTAAAGTAAATGGACGTGTTCCTGGTTCCCAGTCCCCCATTGCGCGCTACTTTTTTTTAAAAAAATTGACTTTGCCGCCCAATATCTCCAAAATTAAAATTTTAACGCAAAAACTAATCTAGAAGTTACTAACCAACTTTTTATGCTCTATCTGAATCACCAAAAACCCATTTTGGGTTTATAAGCACTTTAAATTTCAACATGACACTTGCCAAGCAAGTTACGTCATGCGCACATTGGGCAAAAAAACGTGTGACTCGATTTGGCTTCAGTTTCATATCTGTATTACAAAACAAACACGACAAAAAATGTTGGCTTACATGATTTCACTACATTTCATTATCTATAGGTATTATTTACAAACATTTAAAAAATGTACTATTAAGTTAAGCATGCCGTCACACTAAAGAGTCAAAAGAAACATATGCATATAAATACCTATATAGGTGATTACAAAACAGCAAGTATATACAAATAAGTTGTACCATATAGCAAAATTTATAGGTATGGATAACAATTTTCATAGCATGGATGAGTTACAAGCAAGCATGTTGAAGCAATAATAATGTTACAATATATAAAATTATATTACTACCGTTTTTTTATGCAATCAAAATGTTCAACAGAGCTTATCTCTTTAAGTCATCCGGCTGCCAATAGTCCAGGTGATGAACAGTTTTTGACTTTTGATACCATGTCAGAGTCATCCATAAAGAACAATGGGCTGGCATAAGAACATATATTTAGCATGATATGAATACATGTATCTTTTACAGATAGTACCACATAAAATATGGTATGTATTCATGGAAAAACTAGATTTAGGCTAATCATTATTATAATATAATGTCCTCTTTGATCTAAAACTTCCTAATTATCAGATTTCCTCAGTTACCATTGGTCTCTCATTTATTTATTGAGTCCCCTCATGTCTTTCCCCATGCAATGTTGCAAAATTCTGTTCTAATCTAAAAGGACAAAAATAATGAATTAACAAGGCTAGCAATATAGCCACAGCAATGACAGCATTATTAGTGTCATCATCAAGACAATAATAACTCAAGGATAAAGGAACATTATGCTGACTTTCTTCGCCTGGCACCAATAAAGTACTTATTGAGTGCCATTGTGCCAGAAATTTGAACACTTTTAATATTAACGGCAACGAAATGTCAATGTTTACCTTAATCCCTTTGTCTCAAATGTAAAAATTGCAAAATCGATCTCTTGGTAATGAAAAACCAGATGGTTTTCCTGAAAAATCAACGCAACGGCTGGCAACCTAATAAGATTTTTGGAATCTTAATTCATCCAGAAGCAGGGCAATATGGCCAATAATGCCAAGGAAAATGCTTGTTTTTTGAAGCAGAGACATTGTGTGAGAATTACCGGTGTTTTTTTAGTTCTTTTTATGGCATCACCCTTGAATACTCCACCAAATCCACCTTCACCAATCAAGCCATTGTCGATATAGTAAAAATCGCTCCTGAAAGTCAAAAGCAATTGCTTGTCAATATAACTGAACAACTAAAGAAATATGTGAAGTAAAATGGATTTTAGAATAAAAACGCAAACTCTAAAAATTTTTGTAGCGATAGAATCGGCTTGCCTTTTGACTTGCAAACTTCAACAAAGTTTTCCCCATCGACAACTCTAGTGACGCCTGGCACAATTGAAGGTTGGGAAGGTTTGAGAAAATAAATGGGCTTACCAAAGGATTGTTTTCAAATTAAACTTTCATAAATCCCTGTCTTTCCCATCGCTGGTAGTGAAGTTTGTGTTTCATCGAGTTTCGGCCGACTTTGTAGTCTCAAAATCCACGAAGTATCTCTGGTTGGTCTTCGAACCACAATCTGAACCCATCCTTTACCAACGCAACTGCACCCATTGCTTGAGTCACAAGATTTCTGTACTGAGCCTACGGTACCAGTGGCCTTTAAATCGCGGGTAAGAAGGTCAGTTGCTTTCGTATCGAATTTTGTGTTTGACACCTGGCTAGAATCATTTGCACGAGCTTTGCTATCAGTTGAACAAGCCTGGAAATGTCAAATACGTTACTAAGAGCTTTCACTAGAAGAATATTAAAACTTGGTCGCTCTTGCAAATATATTTTGTTGTTTAAGCATGAATACGCTGGGCAAACAGCGTATGCGAATTTAAACAATGATACTCAAAGCATTTTCCTTACCTGACTAATTGAGGCCTTGTTTTTGTTTCTCTTAAGCTCAACTTTTAAAACCTCAGGCTCCGTGCCCTTCTGCAGTGAATCATCTCCCACAAACACTTTTCCTGCCGAACAATATGCGCATGACATGTTCGAAGTTTCCCGGTTGTTGACTGTAACCGTGATCAACCCATTGCCAAGCAACCATCTTCTTGACGCTCCATTGTGCAGGAGTCGTTCAACAACTGCACTTCTATAACCAGAGAGGTGCTGAAATCACCTCACACTCGCCTGCACTGTTTGTCTAGAATAAGGCTAAACTCTGTATGAAAGGTATCTGTATGAAGCACAAATTACAGATCCTTTTATTACAAATTACAAGGCTAAAATCTGCGTTTGAAGGTAATATTAAGCACAAACTTCAAATATTAGTTGTAACCTCAGAATTACTGGTTAAAACTGGCCTTGGAAGAACATTAGTTTTATTTGTGACCAATATTTCTTCCGTTTCTCGCAATCCGCGCACGTTATATCAACAGGTAAGTTAACGGACCAGGCAAAAGTCCCTGCTTTAATTCGGGCACACACACAACGATTTTACGGTAATTGGTCCATTTAGGTTTATACATATAGGCAGCCCTTGCCCAGACATGTTTTCCTTCTCGCGGCGCTTGCGCCTCGCGCGTGTACGCCAGTCTAATTGGTCTAATATTATGACCACTGAGCATAGGAACCCCAATAAATATTGTTGAAAGAAAAAGTAAATAGTCCAGTTACGGTTGCAAGTTCAGTAACGTCAGTGATCGCGAAGCATATAAATATATAGTTATTGAGAAGGATGGAAACTCTTGTAATAATATAAACATACATACGAATTTCACTCGCAAAATTTCATATCAAAACAACGAGAAATTATCAAATAAATTATCACAAATACATTTTAGATACTCGAACAATAAAATTTCCATTAAAAATATTTTAAAAAGCAAATGAAAATGCACAAAAAATGTACAAAACTTTTGCCTATTTGCCGAAAAATATCGTGGAACCATGCGAGATATAAAATGCGGTTTGAAGAACGAATCTGATTGGTCAAAAAAAAAACAAACGACGTGTGCTTGTCAAGCATCCGCGGGGTAAAGTCAAAGTGTAATTCAAGTTGAAAAAAAACGAGAACACACAAAAAATTAAAGTTTGTAAAAATACAGGTCGAAAATTTATAAATACTTTTTTTATGCTAACGTTTTAAACGCAAATGGGCTAAAATTTCAAGATGACTGCAAAGGTTAAACCGGTTTTTCAACTTGAATTAAGCCAAGGCCTAGTTCTCAGCTCGCAGACTGAGGAAACATTGAAGAATGTTTAAAAAACCACAATGTAAGACATCATGGAAAAATCGCGAGAAATAACATTGAATTTGGCTTACCACAATTCGTATCTCCGATGCAATAGACGTCCGCTACGATTGTCATAATGAGTTTTTATGTGGTACACTAATATATTGAATATTCGTTCTGCAATTACATAATAGGAAAGGGAGAATAAAAAAATTATATTTTATATAACACCAGTGTATGATAAATGGAACTGTACAGCAAAATAGGCTATTACTCCTGAAAAATGTTGCACAGAAGCAAGACATTAAATATCTCAGAAATATTTGGGCTAAAGACCCCGGAATACCACTAAACAATAGCAGTTGAAATGATTATTTGAATAGTATATTCCAACCAGCATATAGTTATAACCTGCATTTTTTTATAAGTAAAACAATAATCAAAATAATACTTTGCTTTGTTATCTCAAATTACTCCCATAGCAAGATATATTTTAGAAATTCCATATCTTTCATCTTTTTGGTACTCTGTTGTCTTCGAAATGTCCCAATTTTACATGTTGTCAATCTGTTGTAATTTTAAGTAATTCTTGGGCTAGGATGTGCAAAAGAATCGAAGAAATAGCATTTCATAAGTGCTAAGCGATAATCGTTGGTAAGCACGTGCTTAAGACAAGCTCGAATCGGAACTAGGTCAGAATTTCGGCTTTTTGCCCGAATTTGTTTTCCATATTTTTATTATTGTGAAATATTATTGCCGGTGATGCGATAATTCATATCATCCGGTATGTTTATATAAAAAATCGGCAAAAATCTTCTAAAGGCTCGATTTTG